AATGAATGCAATTACGTGAGGTGTCTATGTTGAAGTAATTGAACGACGACCACATCACAGTTGCGCATAACGGTAAATCAAGAGAAAGTCTGCATAGAACTATTGAGATGTCCAACAAGAGCTTTATTTTGTGCCCTAAAATTGATGAATATCTTCATATCATCTGATCAATATCTTCATATCATCTTGTGCACTAAAATTTTTCTTCAACAACCCTCACTTTTGCCTGAGGGAGCAAATGGACAATATGCACCCGCATGAGCAGTATATCATTTAACTTTTATTAATGTTAAAGCATCACAGGAATATGAGAAGACTTTAGCAAGAATGATTCACAAAAGGTGAGCGTGAATAAAAAGCCTTTGACCAGCTCGAGCGGTCCTGTGCCATGAAAATATTGGGCATCCATGAAGAAAGGAAAATTGTGGACCTCATTCATCTAAAAACAAGCGTGACTGATTGTTCACATTTTTTTTTTAATATAATTATTATTTTTAGTTTTCAAAATTTTGTTTTTTTTCATATTTATGATTTCCATATTAAAGATTTTATATTCTCTAAAAATTAAGATTAAATTATATTTAAAAAATATATTTATTACCAAGCATGCATTTATGCAATATGCGGGCTAGCAGCATAGAAACTGTGTCCATAAAAAAAAGGATAAAAGGATATGGTTTGTATAAAGTAAGGCGCACCTTCAAATAGTGTGGAAAAATATTGCTTTAGTATTAGAAATCTTTGTGATGGCCTCAAAATTTATTATTATCCCTACTTATAAAATTTAAATCTTAAAAAACAGCGTAAATTGGGCAGATGTATGGACACTTGAAAATCATGAAAAATGACGATTCAGGTAATGCATTACAAGATACATTATTTTCAATATTTGAAATCTCATTTTTCTCATGTCCATACATCTTGAGGTTGAGAGGATTGATTTGAGAAATTTTGGGCATCAAAACAACCTCTTCCGATAAAGTTTTGAGGTGTGCCTTAATTTGATTGTTTAGAGCCTCACCCATATAAAAACTTTCCTAAAGAGAATCACCTACCGATATTTCCTAAAGTAGATAGAAAATAAAATCACCTTCCAATATTTCCTAAAGTAGAAAGAAATACTTATTAGAGAGAATAGAAAGAAATGTGAGGCTTCTCTCCCTCACTCCTTTTCAAGAAATAAGAAATCTTGAAAGAGAATAGAGAGAAATGAAAACCTAGAGGCCATCAAGTTTCTCTTTTTCTTCTTCGTTTTTTCTCTTACTTTTTTTTTTTTTTTTGCTTTATTAAACTATTGGTGAGTGGAGTCAGAACTCATGAATTTAAAATATAGTGTTGCTAACATCAACTGCTAACCCCTCGAGCCCCAGCTTGATTCTTCCAAGTATGGTACTCAATCCTTGTGACAGACATGCATTCTTCATCTCTCCACATCTCATACCGAATCTTTAAAGAGAAATAAGACATCCTCTCAAGAAATCCATACAAAAAAATTAGATACATCACTCTCTCTGTCTCTCAAGGTTTATCTTGTTCTCTCAGAAGAAATATATAAAAAGAGATAATGCAAGTGTTGCCCCTTTCTCTACGTCTCTCAAGAAATCTGGAGACAAAATAGAAATCTCTTTGGGTCCCAATTTCATATCAACCTCTCAATTAGAAATAAAAATAAAGAAAAATCAAAATATTATATGCATTGGAGGCATATGTTCTTTAATATAAAAGAAAAATATGTAGTGGGACCATTTACTTTTTGTACAAGATGGTCACAAATAATCTTGACTATTGGATGTGAAACTTGCATTTAAGCTCAACTTTCGAAAGAAATTTTTTTAACTTTGTGACGCACCCAAACAATCAGACTTCACATCAGATGTTTATAAGTAATTGTAATCTTCTTGTATCAAAGGTAAGTAGTCTCATTGTATACTATCCTTAATGTAAAAATATTGTCAAAATATATTTTTAGAACCCCAAATCTCCACAATGCGATATCCTTGACCTAACCACTAACCTTAAAAAAAAAAAAGGGTAAAGAAATAAAAATTCAAAATACATGCCTCAAAAGAAGAATGCAACGAGACTGAGGATGGTTAGATCCAACTTTTTAAATTCAAAAACTAAATTTCTTTTCTTTTTAAATGCTCATATAATAATTTTGAAGTAGATCCCAAAATTTCAAATTGAAGACCTACTCTTGATCTTTTACCCAAGGAAATTAATATACGGGATTGTATACCATGAGACCATTTACCTTTGATACAAGGTGATCACAATTACTTACAACCATCCGATGTGAAGTTTGATAGCTTGAATATATATATCACAAAGTTTAATTTTTTTGTTTTTTAAATTTGAGCTTGGTCAATAAAATAATTACAGCTACTCAATTTCAAATACAGTGATTAAGATTAATGTCTTACTTTATACCAAAAGTAAATGGTCTCGTTCTATACTTTTCTTAAATAAATAGAATGCTTCCATAGAGCACACTATAACACACTACAAATGAGAGAGAGAAAGAACTTTTGGTGTAAAGACAAAAGAGAGATATTTATTCTCTTTTCCTCTACACCCGTCAAAGAGTGAAAGAGATAAGAAAGAGATATAATGTTTTTTGTTTTGGTAATTAAGTGGGGAAGAATGGTCCCTACTCATTTTTTTCATATAGATTAAGAAGTTGGCTTTTTTGAAGGTGCCAATAGGTGGTGTGAGCAGGATTGAAAATTACAACATGATAACTCGGTATGAGCACGGGTGATAACTGAGCACGGGCGCACTACTACCATACCATGACTTTAGATAAAGAAGTTTTTGGTGTGAAGAGAAAAAAAGGGACATCTATTCTCTTTTCATTTGCACCATTGTAAGTGGAAAAGGGAGAAGGTGGGGGGACATTATAAAGAACTCAAAATGTAAATGGTTATGAAGTGCTTTGAGTGCCCCACATTGCAAATTCAATGTCCTTTCAGACGCTGTCTATATATTCTTTTTGTTTTATTTATGCATATATCTAATGTGTCTCTATCGCATATATACGCCCGTACAACTCGATAGCTTTTTATATTCTTCTCCTTCATTTATTGATCTTCATCACTAATTCGGACATATTAACTTAACAGCACCTACATTATGCTCCCACGGAAGCATATACTGTGGTTCTACTCCCCAGTCAAAAGAATTATATAGGAAAATCTTTTTCAGTCTGAATGTTTAGAAATCACCTGAGATTACTAGGTGATTCTTTTTTAAAGAAAAAATTTTGATTTTTTTTTGAAAATCAAATTTTTTCTGATACTTGGATCTTGCCCTTGAAAATTTTGGATGGTCTTTGTTCAATCTAGAGAATTATTTTTTTAGTGCATAGATAGTTCAATTGGGTCATGTTTTCAATGAGGTTAGTCTATGGGTTAAGAAAGTTACATGCCTAAATTTTGAAGCCCTCAGATTTTTTATATTCGGTCTTATATAGTATCGAATTGGCTTAACTTATTTTAGAAAACATTATCTTGTTTGGGAAAATCTTACTAAAGTGGTCAAACCTTAGACCAGCATCCAACTTCTTTAAGGGGATTAAATTAACAAATTTAATATCGAATAGTTATTTTGTAAGATTCGTTTCACGTCACTACCTCCTAAAGAATTTGTTTGAAAATGTGTTGATTAACACAAGGTAGGTAGTCATATATCATAAACATCCTTCTTATTTCTTATTTTAAACATTGAACATTTTTATATAAATTTATATTCTTCAATCTTTTTGCTAGAAATTTTTGTTTCGAGTTCTTAGTTTATGGATGATATTTTCATTTCCCCTGACTAAACTTTTTCTTTTCACTAACCCACCTTAATTTTTTTGAAATAATTTGACTATTTTTCTTATATTTCCCCTAACTTATGTCACTCCCTCTCCCTATCTTTAACACTTGTTTCTCTCCTAATCTAAGTAATTATCTCCTCTGTCGCCCTAATTATTTATATGAGGGATTTTCTGCTTCTCTAAACATTTATTTGATAATATTGCGCAACTGTCCTATGGTAAGGCTGTAAATCTAGGAGCTGTACTTCTCTTTATTCTTATTTAAAGACAAATAGGTCGGGTCCTTCTTCCTCACTCATTTACCTTAAAAAAAAAACAAACTTCCTATTCTCCAACACGTCTTTCTTTCTTTTTAAAATTTTTTTTATTGTCTTTTTTTGACTTATTATTTTCTCAAGTCTCCTTACTTTTTGTTTTTGTTTTGACTTGTTTTTCTCTCGAGTATTTTCGGTTTGTATAGAGCTGAAGCTCTAAACTCTCAAATTAAAGCCCACATTCAAATAGTATCGAGAAATATGGTTTCAATAATGAAAAGTTATGCGACAACCTTAAATTATATTTTCATCTTCAATTATAAAATTTAAAGTTTAAAAAATAGTGCAAATCGACAAATATATGTAAACTTTAAAATCTTAAAAATTGACGGTAAAAAAATAACGATATAAGATGCCTGATTTCCAAACTTGAAATCTGTTTTTTTTTTTTTTCATGTCTATGCATCTTGATGTTGAGGTGATCGATTTGATGATAATTGGGCATCAAAACAACTTCTTTTAATAAAAGTTGTGAGGTAGGCTCTAATTTGATTAGAGCTTAAGTTCTATATAAACTTTTTCCATTTAATTATTTTTATTTTTCTTGCTTGTATTTCTCATTAAGAAAACAACAACTCATGTTTAGCTCTAAAATACCAGCATTTAAATGCTGAACCAACAAAAATATATATTTATTTATTTATGGATAAGGAAAATTTACACAGTTACATATTGAATAGAAAAGAAATGAAACTTGGCAGAGTCCTCCCTCTCTCTGTCTGTCTGTAGTTCTTCAAAGTGAGAAGAAAATATTTCCTGCTCTGGTTCTATTATCTATATTTCCAAAAAATGTAGTAACTATCATATTTGAAATTCATCTTTCTATCTCTCTCTAAGTTAGTCTTCAAAGTGAGAAGCAAGTATTTCCAAATCTGGTTCTATTATATATCTGTATTACCAAAAAAAACAGGAAGTATCATATTTGAAATTCATCTCTCTCTCTGTAGTATCTTATATTTTAATCTCTCTCTCTCTAATCTCTAATATCTTGTATTTTCTAATTCATCGCTCTCCCCCTCTCTCTAAGGTTTCAGATGTCATAATTAAACTTCAGGATCTCACTTTCTCTCTCTAGATTTGTACGTTTAATCCCTTGTTCTATCCTTCTCTCGTTTTAGGTTCATTGTTCGCTTTCCACAAGTTTACTCTCTCTCTCTCTCTCTCTCTCTCTCTCTCTCTTTCTCTATCTCTCTCTCTCTTGTGAGCAATGCTTTTCACTTCTCTCTATATATACACATTCTTCTATTCTGTTCTGCATGAGTTTTCATCTCTTGATTATCTCAGAGAAGAGGTTATGTCTTTTGTATTTCTCTATCTTATTTCCAATCTTACTCGACTTATTCAGCATTGCAGTTCTCATGAAGCATTTAATGTCATTATTTCTGCTTTTAAATCCGGTTTTTGCTTTTCTTTGAGTTGATTTTCCTGTAGTGTAATTGAATTGCTGTAACTTTTCAGTTCTGCTTTTGAATCTCAATTTTAATTTTTATTTGAGCTGATTTTCCTGTAGTCTAATTGAATTGCTGTAACTTTTTTATATTTATGTCACTGTTTTTTCTTTCTGTTCATCAGTTCATCTTACTATGAAAATGCTTGACTTTTTTATAAATATGATTGTAATGTAATAGAGTAGATTAAAAATAATTGAACGACTTTATCCCTGTAATTTAACTGTATTTAAAAAAATTGGATTTTTCCTGTTAAAGTTTCTGACATAGATTTGTAATTGCTGGGATTCCTGTATAGAGAGAGATAATGCGTGCTTGCCAAAGCAAGATGAAGGCCCAATGCAAAGAAATTATAGGAATTTACTTAACAAAAAGATAAAACTACTCTCTTGATTGTAGGCTTTGATTTTACTTAACAAGTCAAGAAAAAACTATTCTTGTGATTATAGGGATTTACTTAACAAAAAGATAAAGGCCCAATGCAAATAAATTATAAAAAAAAGCAAAAAAAGAGAAAAAACTATTCTCTTGATTGTAAGCTTGATTATTGGTATTTACTTAACAAAAGGTACATACTTATCCAATGTACAACAATATAAAAATTAGAAATTTAAGATTTGAATTTAATTAACAAACTCTGGTAATCCCAACAGATTTTGGCCTCATTTTCTAACTCAGTATATACATCTGTTATGATCTTGAGTGCCTCTCTTTTGTGTTTTAGTTTGACTTAATCTCTTGTAATGATCTTCACTGTTATTTGACTATTTTAGTGAGTTTCATTTCTTGCGTAGGTTAATTTCGGTGATTTTGATGTAAATTATCCGTGATTTGGAGAGCTCTGATGCATGCCTTCTGGAGCTTTATGCGTAAGTTAACCATTTCCTTGTTCAGATCAAAACATTGCATTTTTTTTCACCATTTTTAATGAGGAGATTTACTGCATAATTTCTGTCATTTCCGTCTTTAATGTAATTCCTCTCAATTTCCTAGAAACGAAGGCTTGAATTTGATTACTTTTTTTTTTTTTTGAATTTATCTGAGATATTTTTGTAGTTTTTTATTTATATTATTAGTTTTTGGGGACCTCTTTTAACAGTTTATGTATTGTTTCAAACTTTTGCCAATCTCATGCATTTAAATTACTTGTTTCCTTGATAATCTTCTTAGATTTTGGTATTAGTTTTCCAAATTATTTTTGTTTCAGAGGAACTACTGGAAACTTAGTTTAGCTTGCTAAAGGTACACTTTTAAGGCTCTGTTATGTAATACTTCACTGCTTTTAGCATTTTTCTCTTGCTCTGATGTTTTTCTTTATAAATTATACCAATTCGGTGAATTTAAGATACTTATCTGAGGCCTTTCAAAATTTGTGTTTCTATGAAAAAGTGGGGAAAGTTTTAGGTACTCTTGGTTGCTTGTATTAGCAGATATGTGGGTAATAACTTCTCTTTTTTATCGCAATTTTCAAATAGTAGAAGGAAGCATGGTTCTCTTCGCTGTTTCTTTGTCAACTTGTTATGACTCTACAAGTGATAGTTGATAGTTGAACCAGTTTGATAATTTTTCAAGCAAGTTAATGGTAAAACTTGTTGGGGACAATATTATGATAGCCCCCAGTGACACTTATTGTCAATGTTTTAAAAATCATTGAGCAGTCTCCAAACTGCTCAAAGCTGGCTCGGATCCATTCGTTTATCAATCTGAGTACTACTATTCCCCCGGCTTTGCCTCAGTTCCCACCAGTTTTTGGCGGTTGTTCTTTATTTTATGAGCAAAGAGAGAGAGAGAGAGAGAACCAGTAAGAAGGCTCAGAACTAGTGGTGACTGGTTCAACCTGCTATTCTGGGTTCTAAAACACTGGTTATTCTTATCATCATCATCATTGTTGATTTTGTATCCTTACAGGCGAAACAGGTTGTTTCTAAAGCTATAGATTGAAGCTGATGGCTCACTGTCAATCCCACCAGGCTCGCCCTCAGTTCATTTCAAGTAGTGGAAATGATAATCTTCCCAATGCGCCTCTCATTGAGAATGGAGAACGAAAACAAATCATCGTGCCAGATGTGATACTCATACTACTTAACAATTTCCTTGATTTTTTAACATTATAATTAAGAATTTTATGTTTTCTGTGATCCATGACTATTAGGCTCTATTTTCTGAGTTTAAGTTATTTTTTATTTAAAAATGTTTTATTCATTTGTGAGTGATGTCATTCAGTTTTAGTATTATTTTATTGATTGAGAAAGTATTTTCACTCTCATTTCAGGACACATATATGTGATGATGTAAATTATTCTGTTTGATACGTATGATAATGGCATAATCCATGCACCTTTATTTTAATGTTTGATTTGAGAATCATGCCAAATTCTGTTTCCTTTGTACGGGTAATTTGGGTTTGTTCTCGGGATACTGGATTATGTGTGTGATGTGTTTGCGTTGAGTAAAGTGCGCGTGTTATGCAACGAGTGTGAGTTATTTATAAATTCAGGCTGTTCATTTTCTGCAGAGGAAGAGTTGGAAGAATTTATTTTCTTACGTGGGTCCTGGATTTCTTGTTTCAATTGCATATATTGATCCTGGAAATTGTAAGATGCATCTTTTCTTACTCTTCACTAATAAGAAAAAAAAAAAACGGTTTTATGTTAGCTATCAATGATGTGTGTTGTCATGATGACTTTGGCGTGCAGTTCAGACTGATTTACAGGCAGGAGCAAGTTACAAGTACGAGGTATGTGACTGGACCTTCAGGAAGTTAGGATTGGATTTTGGGATATATTGTTAGGAAAGTATACTGGAGTCCATTGGAATGGAAAAGCATAATCCACTGGGGCCATTACCATCTGATGAAGGGATCAAAGTGGATAGAGGAAGAGAGAGTAGGTCCCACTACAATCGGTTATGAACCCTGTGGGTCCCACTCTCAGTGGCTGTCTATCGTTTCATCGGATGGTTATGACCGCAATGTACTACCCAAAGTCCATTGTGAAACTAGAAAAGTTTCTGATATGATTGCCAAGAAAGAAAAGATTGTCTTATGATTGATTGTGAAAATGAAGTTATATGCATATGATTGCTTTTAATTCCTTTTGCAAATGAAGTTCTATGGAAATGAAGTTTCCATTGCATTAAATGTATTGTATAAAATGGAAAAAAAATGGGAGAAATGGCTGTGCTCCTATAATATTATTGTTTTTTCTCTTTTCAGTTGCTATGGATTATATTAGTAGCTTCATGTGCAGCTTTGGTAATTCAGACCCTTGCAGCGAATTTAGGTGTTGTAACAGGTTCGCAGCATTTTCTTGTTACTGTCAAGAACAGTTCTTCATGTCATTTCCTAGACTAAAGGTTGTGTGCTAAGTTAGCGTCCTTCTACTTTTCGTGCAGGCAAACACCTAGCAGAGCATTGTCGTGCGGAGTATCCGAGGACACCTAATTTTATACTGTGGATTCTTGCCGAAATCGCCATAGTGGCATGTGACATTCCAGAAGGTGTTATCTTACTTATCAATGGACAAATTTGTTTCTTACTTTGGTAATGTCATGGTTTTAAATCTATGCTGCAGTCAACTAAATCACTGATGATTCAGTTACATCATGATTTTAAATCTATGTAATTGGGTGCTTAAGGTTGCATTCTGTATTATACATGGATTTTGTTTTGTTTGTCAAGCAAATAAAGAACATTGTCTTCAAATAGACTAAAAATGGTTAGTCATGCTTTATGGAGGTATCAATAATTCAATATGTATCTGGATGTTACAGTACATAAGAATCTTGGTGGAGGAAAAATAAAGGAAAACAAATCTCTCTTTATGATAGTAAAAAAGCTATTCTGGCTCTTGTTATCAGAACATAACTATTCTTACACTATGGGAGTATCACTAAGTATCTAGTTGCTCCTATCAGCAGGAAACTGGGAGAAGGATGACAGTCAACCAAACTATTATTATTATTGAAGCTGTTAACTGTATTGATTGGGAAAATGTACAGAAAATGAACTGCCCAGAGACCGGGTGTTCATGTTTCAAAAAACCCTTACGGGTTCCAAAAAATGCTATACTTGCTCAGGTACATAAAGTAAAACAAAATGTGTTGTCTAGAGCTCAAACAGATGCTTGAAGGTCTCCTGCAAGTTTTGCTGTGAGGCGCCATTCTTAGCGAGGGCGTCTGCCACGGCATTGACCTCCCTCCAAGTATGCTGTCAAACAATGTGTGTAGCCCTGCAAAGGTGGAAAATCTTGTCCAAGATATGCTCCAATCTCCATGTGCAAAGGGAAGACCTATAAGCCCAATCTATGACTTTCTTCAAATCCCCCTCAACTACCAGAGTTGCACCCCAAGAGGGGTTGAAGTAGCGAAGTTCCACCAGAAGGGCTAAGGCTTCAGCTACCGTGGAGTCAGTAGGGTCTGCAAATTGGGAGAAAGAAAAAATCGTAGTGCCCCCATAATCTCTGAAGATGCCCCCAATACCAGCAGGGCCCGGGTTAACTAGAGAGCAACCATCAAAGTTAAGTTTGACTTGGCCCTGGGGATCTCCATAGAGGAACAAGGGACACAAACTGCTCTTAGGGAGAGTAAGTTCCCCCACTTGAGTTGGAAGTCCAAGAGTGGGCAATTCTTGAATAGGTTGTGGTTCTTAGCCCAGAAAATGATGAGAGATTTGACTTTATCGAATAGTGCCATTAGGTGCATCTTCTCCCCTCTAAATGTGTGATTATTGCGTTCCAACCAGATCACCCAAAGGGTAGCAGCAACCGCTGCGCGCCAAAGGAACCTCTCATGTTTTGGGCCATGGGGGAGAGAAGCCAGCATCGACCAGTTGAGGAATGGATGATGGAGTCACTCAAAACCATCTGAAGAGCTGAAGAAGGTGCCCCCACATCGAGCTGGCAATGGGGCAATGGATGAACAAATGGGCATTAGTCTCCTGTTCCTCTAGGCACATAGTGCACCTATGGGGGAACTGGAGACTTGTTCTTTGAAGCAGGTTGACGATCAAGCTCTTTCAGAGAAGGCTATCCAATTAAACATTTGGATCTTGGGCGGAACCAAAGGGAACCAGTCCTTAGCCACAGCCGAGTAGAAGGGGGCAGGAGGGGGTTGGGGTGCGAATGGAGGCTTTTGCAGGAGGAGAGGAGTAGATGCGAGAGGGGGCAGGTGTCCAGGTCATTTTATCATTCCCCTCAGAAGACAAGAAACTAGAGTGGAGGAGGGAAGAGCTTCGTAATATGATGATCATTGTCTCAACTCCATGTTGCAAGTTTGAATCCCATTCTTAGCAATAAGGACAATTAATAAAAGGAAATCTCTTCACAAATCAACAGTTCAGTTTTTTGGAACCTTAAAAATGTGATTGGCTACAATGGGAAGCACTGACTTTTGATTAGCTGCTATTGAGATAAGAGTTCAGTTTTTTGGAACCTTAAAAATGTGATTGGCTACAATGGGAAGCACTGACTTTTGATTAGCTGCTTTTGAGATAAGAAATGTATAGTATGTTTTTGCTTGTAAAAAACAATATAACCATAAAATGTTGGGCGGTCAAAAAACAATATATCCATAGAATCAGTGTAGCGGAGGTGAGGATGTTGAGATGGATGAGTGGCAAGACCAGAAGGGATAAAATTTGAAATGAATACATTTGAAATAATTTAGGTGTGACACCAATAGGCGTTAAGATGAGAGAGAGTAGACTTAGGTGCGATGGCCATGTGTGGCACAGATCCAGTACAACACCTATTAGGAGGTATGAGTTAGTTCGAGTGGAAGGTTCAAAAAGGGCAAGCGGTAATCCCAAAAGAACATAGTTGGAAGTAGTGAGAAAATATATGAGAAATTATGGCTTCACTGAGGGTATGGCCTTTAATAGAGCAGAATGACGGACTAGATTTGTGTAGCTGACCCCAATTAGTTGGGAAAAAGCTTTGACGATGATATGATGATTCTTGCTTGCAAAAATGATCATTAGAACTTTTTCATTCAATAGTCATTAAGGAAATAATGCCGTAATTTGTGTTATTGGAGTTAGTTCCTTAGAATTTACTTATGTTATTTGTTGATCTCATATATTAGGAACCTTAAAATTTGTGCCCTGGTTTTGAACTATACGTGCCTAAAAGCATGGGATATGATTAAATGTGCATTATTTTTGTTCTTTGTCCCATTTAACATGTTACTATATCTACATTAAGAGCCTGGATGGCACTCTGAGCTTTGTAAAACCTAGATTTTAAATGATCCAGTTATCATTCTTGGACTTTGGACTCATCCTGTATACCATTAAATCCTTAATGCCTTGGACATTCGGTTTTATTCATAGGGCATCTGATTAGTATAACAAATTCCAGAATTAAAGAGTTAATTAAGAGTAGGAGATTAAATTCCTTACATTAATGAGTAACTCAAATCAAAAGATCAGTTGTGAACATATTAATTTAATGAATAATACGCAAGACTACAATTCCCATGTGTTGCACCATTCAAATATCTGTACATGGGCTAAAACCCTTCCACCAACTACATCTTGTGAATGCAAATTTAAGAGAGAGAGAGTTTTCATAAAAACTTGATGTTTCTCTCTTGCCAAGGCTATGTCTAAGGAGACAGGGGATCAGAATTAGCAACTCGTAAAATTCGTGCTAGTCTAGACCATATTGTACTAGTTTGGTTCTTCTCTTTTAGGTATTAACTTTTAATTTTGTTTTTTCACATGCTTCACTTTCCTTTTATGTTGTTTAGTATTTCAGCTTTTGTTTTTACAAAAGAATATACGACTTAATTTTTGTAACCAGTTATGCTCTTCTCAGAATGTTGTGTTTGTTATTATGACAACTTCATTAAGATATTGAATCATGTTCACTGAGCCACGCTTTTTGATGCATCAATTACATGTCACCTGAATTAAGTTTAAATTTTTTATCTTGTGATGAATTCAAACTATTTGGCAAATGGTTAATTAAGACATCCTTCTTTTTGCAGTCATAGGAACAGCATTTGCTCTAAACATGCTATTCAGGATCCCTGTGTGGTGTGGAGTTCTTCTTACTGGGTTGAGCACTTTGATGCTTCTTGCGCTGCAACAATATGGGGTATGTAATTCGTCATGCAAAAAGAAGAAAACGAATGAAGGGAATATGCTAGGAGGGAAAAAGAACTCTATGCATTATTATCTGTTTCGTTTTTCTACAAATATCATTATCCAACTGGAGATTTGAATTTGTATGTCTAATAGGCTTCTTGTTCCATGCAGGTGCGCAAACTTGAATTTCTCATAGCTTTCCTGGTGTTTACAATAGCAGCATGTTTCTTTGGAGAACTTGCATATGCTAAGCCAATTCCCTCCGAAGTTCTAAAAGGATTATTTGTTCCTCAACTCAAGGGAAATGGTGCAACTGGCCTTGCAATCTCCCTTCTCGGTGCCATGGTTATGCCGTAAGCCTCTAAGAATTATTCACATTGAGTTTTATATAAATTTTGTAAGTTCTATAATAGCTTTGATTATATTTTTCTTACAGGCACAATCTGTTTCTCCATTCAGCCTTGGTGCTTTCTAGGAAAATTCCTCGATCAATTAATCGAATTAAAGTAAACACCGTCATCATTACTGTCTTTACTATCTTTTAGTTCTATTGGCAAACCATAGGTCCCTCCTCCCCAAAAGAAAGAGAAGAAAAAAAAAAGAGAAAAAAGACATTTACATATTCTGAGTATGAGTTATTTTTAAGACATTGTTTGGCATTAAGTTGAAAATTCTATGACAGTAATTGTAGATATAGTATATGTGTATATTTGTTTGTTTTGTCACTTGTGATTGCTGGAATGGATTTTGGTGGTAGGAGGCCTGCAGATTTTACACCATTGAAAGTGCATTTGCTTTGGCTGTGGCATTTCTCATAAATGTTTCAGTGATTTCTGTGAGTGGTGCTGTATGCAATTCCTCAAATTTGAGTCCAGAGGATCAGAAGAACTGTGAAGACCTGGACCTCAACAGGGCTTCGTTTTTGCTTAGAGTACGATATCTCACCTTTCTTTATTATACATGCATAGTTTGTACCTTTTTCTAAAGATTGTTGTTTTGTTATTTGGATTCTGTTCTGTTTCTTAACCTGTAGAAATTTTTGAGACTAACGTAAGTTTTTCATAAAGAATGGGTTAGAATTTAAAAATGAGTTTCAGCCCCTTTCTCTGAGGATGTTTGGGAGAGTATTATTTTCAAGAGATAGTCAACAAGCTCTTTTTCTGGGTAAAAGGAAATGTCCATGTTAATAGTTATGTTGCTATTACTTCGTATATGAACTCTTGAACATGACATAGATGACACTGAGAAAATATGTACTCTGATATGTTTATAATTGACACAGTGCATATTGACATTTTAAAAGCAGCAGAATCATTTTCCTTATTGCATTTTTTTTATCTTTGAAGTTCGTTGTATGCTTTATAAACATTTCGTGATGTTGTTTTACTTTCTCTTTGGTCTAGAATGTTGTGGGTAGTTGGAGTTCGAAGCTTTTTGCCATTGCTTTGCTGGCATCGGGTCAAAGTTCCACAATAACAGGAACATATGCAGGACAGTATGTCATGCAGGTATTGTAAGTTCATAGAATTATGCAAAAATCTAAAAAGACATTCTTTATGGTTAACTTCTTGTGCCTTCTTTTAATTGTGCATGTCTTCTCAATATCATGGGGCCTATTTCTGGTTAACTTTGTAGTGGTAGCCTCCTTACTCACTGATGCATATGGATCCTGTTTTAACCAATATAAACATGCTGAGAATTAACTATTCATCTGTCAGACATTATTCTGTTGACAGTGGTAATAAGTTCATGTATAGATATCACAGCTTAGTATCTGAAATTTTCAACCATGTATATTTATCGCATGTTACTTCCAAGAACTGTGTCCATATGTAGGGCTTTTTGGATCTGCGCCTCACTCCATGGATTCGAAACTTTTTAACTCGATGTCTGGCCATAATACCAAGTCTTATTGTGGCCATTATTGGTGGCTCTGCTGGAGCAGGGAAGTTGATTATTATCGCATCGGTAAGAAGATCCTTTACTCATATTTGTTCTTTCTAGCTCTATAAGAAGTTGCAATTTTTTCATTAAATGCTATACAGCCCAATATGGAGAAATTGCCTCCACATGTTTGCTTGTTTTTGTAGTAACGATCAGAGCAAAAATGTATTGGTGGGATTAGAAATCACAGTTGACAAGATTGACTTTTCTCAGGACAGTATTATATCCATTTCAATGGCTAACATGTGTTATGTTGTTGCAAATTAATGATTGAAATAATATAATTTGACAGCTAATTGCTAGTCGCAGAAATGGAAGGGAGTAGCATGTCCCTATCTTTGTGTGTTTGTTGAGAGAGAGAGAGAGAGAGGAGGAGAGAGAGAAGAGAGAGAGAGAAGAGAGGAGGGAGAGAG